AGTTGTTAAGATTTAGAACATTGCTGACAAATTTTCAGAGATGGCTTGAGAGAGAATTGGAGAAATACCCCTTTGATTTTTTTTTTTTTTTTACATTGTTTTATCATAGCGCTGGAAGACATCTTGCTAGGCTCAAGAGAACCTGAAGAGAACATTACAAATACGCGTGCTGGAAACGCTAACATCTTTGCCTCTAGTTAGCACTTGGCATTCACAGTGTGAAGCTGGTCTGTGGTGTGTATTTCTTGTCTTAGCACTGGCTGTTATCTCCAGTGTGGGCTCTGCTCTGCAGGGGAGATGACAAGTGCAGGCCATGCACTGCTGAAAGAGATCAAGACAAAGAGAGAAGCTGGGTGTGAGCGAAGAGAATAGAAAGTAGGTAGCTGAAGCTCTCAGCAGGGTTGGTCAGTGGTTCAGGGAACTAGAACAATAAAGTTGTATAAGAGTGAACGTTCTCTGTTCCTTTGCTGGTGAAATGTAAAGAAAAACAAATGCAGCAACTGAAACAACGTGATTAATTTCTGCGCATATGCCAAGCTGGGTCCAGAAAATAATAACCCAGGCTCATTGGAAAAAAGTGCCTGTGGCAACATTTCTACAAAATGATGTTTGTTGCTTCTTGCACATTTCGTTACTTCGATATTTTGAAAAAATTCCAAAATTTACGTTTCCACTGAAGAAAAACTTTTATACAGGTTTGGAGCAACATGAGGTGAGTAAATAGGTGAGAGAATTTGTATTTTGGGGCTGAACTATTCTATTTAATAGGCCAACAAAACCAAAATCCTTTTTGTTGAGCAGAGTAAATAAAATGTTCTAGAGGAATAGAAACAAATCGCTTTACTCTTCTGAGGTTATCTGGGCTTTTTGATAGGGTTAACCTTCATCATGTACAAATTCGTGTTCTACCTTTTAATGTTGCCATCAGAATGATCTACGGATTTGTTTTCTTATCGAGCTGTGGCAAGTCCTTATTGTCACACCCCTGTGGACTGTTGATTGTAGTTTCTCCCTCTGTGTCCTTATTTGGTTGTTCCTGTTCTCATTATTAGTTAATCACCTCATTGTGCTCACCTGTCTGCCCCTCGTTATCTGCCCTATATCAGTTCCTGTTTCTTGTATTCTAGTTTGTTGGTTATTGTGAATGTTACCCCGAGTGTGTGTCTCACCTTCCTGAATCTGCCTTGTTGTGTCTACATTAAAAGTCATTATTGGAATCCTTGTCGTCCTGCCTGCCTCCACACACTGTGACCGTGACACTTATAAATCACTGCAAACAAATCTCTTTGTCATTCTGACAGTCAACAGCTCCAATTGGCTGCCAAAGCCAGGTGGCATTACTTGTTACCATGCCAACAAGTTGTTCTGGACTAATTCATTAGCTTGTGCGACTGGCAAATTGCCAGATAAGGTCTGCTAGTATATTTGAAGTTAACAAGGACGCATACAACTGATATTAGCGAATATTGCAGAACATTATGCATACCAATTAGGTAATTAAAGTTAACTGCATTTAGCCTTGAAGTCTAGTCATTTCAGCAGTTTTAATTGGCCTAGAATCCATTTAACAATATCATGAATGTTGTACTGCAAATGGCCAAATTGTATTATGCCTCTAGCAAATCCAGTGCTTTGTTGAAGACGAGATGTTCACGTAATGAGATGAAGTTGTAAATACTGTTTGCATGTTTGAGTGGTCATCCTCTTCCTCACAAATTAAGTACAGTGTTTCGTGCCACAATAATTGTGAATTATACTAAATATGGAGGAAAATGGTGGGTGGGTGAAATCTTTGAAATTCTTCAAAAAAGAAGAAAATCTTTCCAACATTATACAACCAACTTATATCCATATGCCCCAATAGGTTTCTCTTGTGCCATCATCAGTTGAATTATCGTTAATATATATCATGTCCACTGATTTCTTCACCCAAAAATTAAGATGGCATCTTTTACTTACCGTTATGACATTTCAAACCCATAATTTCTATCTTCTGTGAAACATAAAAGGAGATCTATAGCTGCTTTTTTCCATATAGTCAAATAAAAATGGTCACGTAGACTGCTTTTATAGTACTTCATGCTGTTTTTGTCCTTCTTGATTAAATAATATCTGCCTATTTTGTCCTAGGTAATGTAATTCATAAAGTGTTGCAACCTAGAATATCTGCACATTGGCGAAAGGTGCCCTACTAAGTGCTTGACAAACTGACAACCCTGGCTGGTTTGGTTAGGGTTAGGAATAAGGATAAGGTTTGGCTTCTGTGTTTTGATTCACTCAAACATATGATATTATTCCCTGCATTGTTCATAGACCTAATAATAAAAGGTTGCAGAGGTCTAAAGGAATCATCTGAAATTGAGGTGAGAATGTCACCAGAGTGACGTTTTGGTGGTGCAAGGCTATAAATCGCTATAGTTATGTTTCCCTTATGAGACTGCCCTGGATGACAAGTTCATTCTTGGCCATTCTGTAGCCAGCCTATTTGAGATGAACCAGTTTATGTGTTTAATTTGGCTGAGTGCAGAAACATTGTAAGAATAAACTGTGTATGTGTGTAAACATCAATCAAACTGGTTTTTATTAGTCAAATTGGGCCAGAATTTGCTGCAGGTATGTAAAGTAGAGCTGGATGTCCTTTATTTTAGACTACATCTCACACACGCACACACTCTGGGACTGGGTGAGAAATAGCACATTTTCTCATCTCTTTTTGGCCCATCTCTTTCAGACATATACACGGTCATGGTCACAATAAGCACTGAGCCAACTTTAATCTTCTCAAATGATATAGACCACTGGGATCCGATTATGTAACACAGATCGCTGAGATTACGGCCATTCACGCTATAAAAGTCTGTTGTTGTTATTTTTTGTTTTTCTATGTAAATTAGGTAAAAACAAAGAAAGGCATTTAAATGGGATAGTTCAGCAAAAATTGAAAAGCCATCATTTTCTCAACCTCATATCACTACAAACATGTATGACTTTATTCTGTGGAAAACTAAAGATATATACTCTAGTCCATACAGTGAAAGTCCATGAAATCCAAAATAAAACCGACTTTCATTGTTTGAGCATAATAAACACCTTTTTTAAGAAAGTAAGTCATACAGCAACAGGTTCTGTCAGGACCACTATCGTCAAAGATGATTGACAATTAGCATACAGTTTGGATTGGCGGTATGGTTCTGTTCTGGGCAAGAACTCCCTGCGCATCCATGCAGCCTAGCATGGATGAGAGCAGGGAGAGCAGCAATAACCCCCATGGTAAACAGAACAGAACCAACATAAATGTATTTATGATAATTATTTTTTAAATGTATAAATGTATTTATGATAAAAATAAAATAATGTAATGTGCACATTTTAGAATTAGTCTGATTCAAAGGAGAATCAAAAGGCTGAATCCTGACTGACAGAGGAGGAGTTGGGGATGGAGGAGGGTAATTAGCTATTGAGCAATGCGAAAACTGCTGATAATACTGAGGGACCTTATATATGAATGCTTAGATAGGTGTCGTATTCCCATAGGTAGATGGGGATCAGCTGAGAGTCAGCTGATGCGAGCTTGACTAACGTGACCTGCCAGAACTAACGCTACACTTGATGTCAGTAATGATTTTTGGGTCAGCTAACCCTTTAAGACTACATGCACAACTGAATGTCTGCATGTTTTAGCATTTTCTAAAAAGATTCATATTTTGTCAAAATTAGACATTAATGATGCAGATTCCTCTCCATTATTCAGAAGTCCTGGGTTGGTTTGGCCAAATATAACTGCCTATTGTGTCTGTGTTCCCAGAACCTGCTGTAAGCCTGTCTGTTGCTGTGGGTAAATACAGAAGGCAGAGACACACACGCACGCGCGCGCATGCGGCTCAAGTCATCTTCTCCCCCTCATTTCACCTAAGCCATTCTTAAATGGGCCCTCACACACTGCCCTTCCTCAGCAACTATCTCAAACTGCAGATAGACAGGACATGACAATGGAAAAGAAGGAGAATAATTTAGCAATCAAGTCTCCTGCCCTCTTTTTATGGCAACAAAAGAAGGACTTATGTAACTTTAAAAGTAACTATTTTCATCTTAACTTTACTTAAAGTGCTGTACACTGTCCCTATTTTATTTTTTAATGAAGCTTCTGGGTTCAATATAAGGTAAGTTCAGTCGACAGCATTCGTGGCATAATTCTGATTACCATATAATACAATTTTGAGATTTATGGTGATAAGGGTGCAAAATTGGATAAATATTACTGTTCAAAAGATTGGAGATGGTAAGATTTTTATTCTTGAAAGAAGTCTGTTGTGCTCACCAAGGCTGCATTTATTTGATTAGAATTTTGTGTTTTAATATCCTGTAATGACAAATCCTTCTAATATGCTGAATTGGAGCTTAGGAACATTTTGTTGCTGATGAACAGATGAAAACAGCATATGTTTGAAACAGAATTTATTTGTAAAAAAAAAATGTATTTACTGTCACTTTTGATCAATTTAATGCACCCTTGCTGGAAAAAAAATGACCTAAAACATTTGAATGGTGGTGTAACTTTTTCACACTGAAATCATGTTTACACGCATATTGTTTACTGTAGATACTGTTGCAACAGTGAGTAATGTAGCATTTACAATTTGCACCATTCACTGCCATTGTAAATGCCTCAAAGATTTGTTTTTGATTAACTGAAATTGAGTTTAAATAAATTTTTGTGGTAATCAACATAATGCCGTGAATGTGGACGGTTAAGCTTAACTTGTAATGACCCCGGAATATTCCTTTAAGGATATAAAGTCAAGGTAACAATGGTTGCTTTGGCAAAGTAAGATACAGTAATAAACAGATATTAAAATGGTTATTAATATCAGTGGTTCCCTTATTTTAATCTTCATTTCTATATTCAGTAAAAAAATCATTTTAACACGTAATGACATTGACATTGAGTTTACTCCAACAAAAAACGTTTTTTTTTTGTTTTTCACTGCTAGTATATTTCATGAAAAACAAAAATAACAATTTCTGGCAAAACAGCTCATTATTGTCCTTTTCATCCATTTCTCCAAACAAAACATTTTAAAACAGAATTTATTCATTGATTCTGTGGTTTTGGAATGGCATTTTTTAAATGATTTTTTTTTTTCTGTAATAGTCCAGCATCCTTGCCGCCAACGCAATTGTCACAGAACACATTCCTGTACTGGATAGTGGTGGTCAGATGATAGAGTAGATCTAGTGGTGTCATAAAATTACTTTTGTGTGCATTAATCCACCCACTCACCTACACACTTACAAACACATACACACATACAGGCTCACGCACAAAATATCAATTGTCAGTCAATACCCATTTATGCTTTAAACGTGTTCCAAATCATGCCACCATTTTTCAATTTGTACACTTTCACTTTCCTTGCAGTTTGCATCCTCTACATTCCACATTTGCTGTAATACCATTGTTGCAGTTATTAATTGATCTCCTCCGATCGATTGTGCATGAATCGGCATGTCCACTTGCTGGCCTTGTTCCTGTAATGCACGTGGCCACAGCAAAATGAACCATCATATTTCCCCAAGGTTCACTTGAGTTAGAAATCACTGTTTCTGTGGGCCTGCTTACATTTAGTCTTTTTTTTTTTCACATCGACTGCTTTTTAAAAATAAATATAGTTTGTGGTTCTCCAAAATTCACTGACAAACCAGACTGTTTGTATGTTTTTTTTAGGAGTCTTGACTTTTATATCTGCTGTCTATACCCTTGCTGCTTTTTTTTATTTCTGGAATGATCCATCAATATTATATGAGATCTTCAACAACTTTCCTTCTGAAGAGCCAGTCTAAAACCATCCTATGACTTATCTGGCTTAACTGGTCTCTCAGCCTGGTCAAGCTGGTCTTCAGCTGGTTTTGCTGGTGTCACAGGCTGCCCAGCTGGCAAGTACCCCAAACCCCTCTAAAACCAGCAAACCAGATCACCATTCCCAAACCAGAGAGCAGCTAAGACCACCAAACCAGCTGTTGTTAATTTTTTTTTACCCCCTATGGTTTAGCCCCACTTATACAGTAACTTTACCACATTTACGGCTCTCTTTTAAACTGGTTTCTCCTTCTGCATCAATCTTTTGGTCCTAACAGCCTGTCTCTTCATTTATCTACTTGCGTGTCTTATCTGTTTTCTCTTTCACTACACCACACTCTCCTCAAGTTCTTCTGCCTTTTCTTTGTCCTTTTCTTTATCCTTCAGCCACTGGTTCTTTGAATTTGTTGTAACCTCCACTTTCGGATGGTTGGAATTTGAGTTGGTGGTGTTGTAGGCACGGATGTATCCGCGTGCATGCTGCATGTGGAAATCGTCACTGCCGCTGCTGGTTGTTGAGGTGCTTGTTGCTGAAGTGCACTGGACAAGCATGCCATGTAACGACTGGCTCCGTTTGGTCCAGATTACGCTAAATCTCTTGGCATAACTGTAGCAGGCTGTTGTGGCGATTTCACCCATATCGAACGATGAGCTTCTCTTGTAGCGCAGGGCGCTGTGAGGAGGACTCTCATGGGACAACACAGGGCTCTGATAGGCCAGTGAGGAATTCCACTGGCTCTCTGGTCCTCCCCGACGGACTACAACGCCCCCTCCTGTGCTGAACCGCCTGTCATGACTGTACGTAGGGGGCGGAGCCAAGCTTAAACTGGCCTGTTTACTTGTGTCCACATTGGTAGGACGCAGTTTGAGCGGTTTTGCTCCTAATTGCCGTGACGGACGTGGCAGTGTGGAGGGGGAATGATTACTGGGGGTATAATACAAAGACATTTGCTCTTTCTCCAGCGTGTATGGAGGAAGAGGCCTGACAGGACCCATCTCGACTTCTAGTCCTGCCCTGAACTGTTCCAGATTTACCTTGGGCTTTGGGAGGGTTTTTGGTTTCACTTTGGAAGTTGGTTTGGGCGGTGACCCCAACCCTCCCTCTGCCACTTTTCGTTTTTGAACAAGCCCCTTGGGCAGCACCACCATCATCACATTCCCATTTCCATTACTCTGAGAAAAGACATCGACTCCCTTGGCACCGCCTGTCATGACTGTACGTAGGGGGCGGAGCCAAGCTTAAACTGGCCTGTTTACTTGTGTCCACATTGGTAGGACGCAGTTTGAGCGGTTTTGCTCCTAATTGCCGTGACGGACGTGGCAGTGTGGAGGGGGAATGATTACTGGGGGTATAATACAAAGACATTTGCTCTTTCTCCAGCGTGTATGGAGGAAGAGGCCTGACAGGACCCATCTCGACTTCTAGTCCTGCCCTGAACTGTTCCAGATTCACCTTGGGCTTTGGGAGGGTTTTTGGTTTCACTTTGGAAGTTGGTTTGGGCGGTGACCCCAACCCTCTCTCTGCCACTTTTCGTTTTTGAACAAGCCCCTTGGGCAGCACCACCATCATCACATTCCCATTTCCATTACTCTGAGAAAAGACATCGACTCCCTTGGCAGGAAGAGGTGGGGAGTCTGTCCCTGAGCAGCCTAGCTCCTCGCCTATTTCATGATGATTGTCATGGTTGCTGCACACACGGTGACGTACCATCAGTGCCACGGTAAACACTAACAGCGTTACCACAACAACTCCACCAACCAGAATTGTAAGAGTCCCGCCAAGGAAGTGGGCTTGAAGCGAACGGCAGTCTGGGTAATTGTCCTTGGTGCTAAACTGGGTGCAACCAAGGACCTTTGTAGCGGCCATGGAAGTGACTGTGTCATCAAAAATGGCTAGCACGCACAAATTGTAGTCTGAGCCAGAGACCAGGTTTTTCAGTAGAAAGCTGTCAGTCGTGGGGGGCAGAATTCTGAAAGAGGAGGGGAGAGAGAGAAAGAAAGAAAGAGTGAATGGTTAGTAACCTGTAGCAATTACCATCTCCCCATTCCATCACAACGAAACAACATTTTGCTTAGACTCATGTTCCTTTATTCCCATAGCACAAAGGCCTACACTAACTAATGTAATGGAAATGTACTGGGCTATTCTGGCACACCACCAGCCAAATTAAGGCCTTCCCAAACAATACCTCTAATATTGACATATAATTACAGGCTCGGATCAAGACCTTGACACATTACAATACTGCTTCAGTCACATTATTAAAACCCCCTTATCCTCCCACATGCAGACGTTTTTTTTTATTATCTTTCTCTCATGGAAGAAAAGCATCAGCTAATGCCTGCCGTCCACTGGTCCTGATGGGTTTAATTATGTTTCCGCTAAAAATGAAAAGACACCTTAAGTAATGCACATGGAATATTAATTGGAGACAAACACATGGTTTGTCAGTGGGCTTTTTTTACTGCCTTAATTTGTGTTTTCAAAGAATATTTTTTGTTCTCCTTTTTTGTCCTTTTTTGTCCTCTTTTGTCCAATTTGTCATTTTATTATATACTTTCTTATTATTTAGCAGTTCTTATTATTTATTATTTATAAAAAAAAATAACAAAAATTATTTAAATTATTATTTGAGACAATGAAAATCCAAAAATCCAATTTGACCTTTTTATGACAAGCTAAGGTTAGTTCATGTTTTAAATTGTTGTGGTGAAGCTCCCCCAAGTGTAATATGAATTAATAATTTATTATATCGTTTTAACACATGCATCCATTGCAGGCTCATTAATGTGATGTATATATGAATGTTGAAATTATAAAAACAGTTTGGAGGCATTGTGGCTTATATATACATACATACATACACACTCACAC